ACTGGGTATCTGTTTTCTTCATTTCCCTCTGAATCCTGTATTAAATAATATTTGTGGGGAGAATGGTTTCCCTTCTTTTTTCATCTTCCCATTGGTCCACTTGGTACTGTGTTGTAACTATGTTCTTGATAGGCTATTGGTGGTTTAAGTCACCTGTTTTCTTTCCCTTGGTTTAATTTTGTTGTGTGTGTGTTGTGTTTTAGGTTAGTGTATGTATGCTATTTCATCCCTGGTCTGTGTGTAATTTAGTATTAGCTAACTCACAACAGCAAAACTAACAAAGCAAATTAAAACAAAAACAATCAAAAAAGAAAACCAAAGAAATCAAGAGGAGAGATGGACAAACACACACAGACAAACAAACAGACACACAAAAAAATTCCAAGTTCAGGATGCATAGAATTTCAGTCTTAGTAGTTATTCCTTCAGTATCCAGTCCTAGGGTTGGTATTTAAGCAGAGTCTCTGTCTTAGTCTCGCCAGATGGTTGTGGAGTCTTGGCAGTTTTTTTCCCTGTCTTTCAGAGGCAGCTGCTTAGTCAGCTCCTCCCTAGCAGTTTGAGTTTGTATATTGTTCTCAGGTTGGGAGAACAGCTCTGTAGTCCACCAGCCCATCAGAAAATACTCTGATGGTTGTTCTTAATTCTTGAAACAATCAATTTTATTGAGGCATGCTATATATCATAAAATTTGCCCATTTTTTTAAGTGTACAATTCAATGATTCCTTTTTTTTTGGTAGCGCTGGGCTTTGAACTCAGGGTCTTGTGCTTGCTAGGCAGGTGCTTTACACTTGAGCCACTCCACCAACATTTTTTTTGAGATGTGGTCTCAGTTTCATTTTGTTTAGGCTGACTTTGAGCTATAATCCTTCTGATCTCCTGATGTCTGTCTTCTGGGTAGTTAAGATTGTAGATGTGAGCCACTGGTGCTTTGCTCAATGATTTCTTTTAAAGTGAAATTATAGTTGTTCAGCCACCAGCACAGTTGAATTTGAGATCCTTTGTGCCCCATGTGGTGAATTCTTATCCACTCTTTCCTCCTTTTCTCTCTGTCCCAAGCAACTGCCACCCTACTTTTTGTCTCTGTAGATAGAGGGTCGTTTTCTGGTCTTTTGTGTCTGATTTCTTTTCTGTAGCATGTCTTTGATTCTGAAGTTCATCCATATTGGGGCTCGTGTTCTCAGGTGGTCTGGGTTTTTGGCTGAGCAGCATCCCAGAACACAGTTGGTTTATTCACAATCACTTCGTCAGCATTTGGCTCTTAGAGTTTAATAGTTTTTCTGAAGTACTGGGGTTTAAACTTAGGGCCTTGTATTTGGTGGGTGGGTTATCTACCTCTTGAGCCACATGTCCAGCCCTGTTTTGCTTTAATTATTTTTCATGTTGGGGGCTTGTGTTTTTTGCTGGGGGCCAGCCTGGACTGTAATCCTCCTATTTATGCCTCCCATATAGCTGGGATGACAGACATGAACCACCATGCCTAGCTTATTGATTGAGATGGGTTCTTGCTAACTTTTTGGCTGGGCTGGCCTCAAAGCACGATCCTCCTGATCTCCACTTTCTGAGTAGCTAGGGATAAGGGCCTGAGCCAGCGGCCAAGTGGCTGTTGGAGTTTCGTAATGTGCAAGTGAGGTTGAGTGCCCTCTCTCCTTTTATCTCCTGTTCAACATGAAGAATAATGCAGAGCTGTTTGGTATGTCATTGTTAGTGCTTTTAAGTACTTTGAGATTATTTGAAATGCTGTCACATTTCCAAAGACAGCATATCAGCAGATAATGTGGGAATTTAAGCTGTATAGTGATTGCTGAAGTTGGTAAATAAAGAGGAAGTATCATCCACACATGTAACTCCTACTCCAAAAAGGGACAGAGTATTTCTGCTGTTCCTGAGGTTACTGCTTTGCCCCTTCCCATTCTGTCTTCCTGCCAGAAGCAGCCATTGTTTCCATGTTCATGGCTTGATTTTATCATTTCTAGGACTTGATGTAAGTGGCATCACATTGTGTGATCTGTTGTGTTTGCTTTTACTCAGCACACTTTTTTTTTTTCTTTCAGTCCAGGGATTGAACTCAGGGCCTTCAGCAAACCAGGCAATACTCTACCTGAGCTACATCGCAGCCCCTCCACGTGCTTGTGTGATTTAGCAGTGGTGTTGCACACACCAGCTTGCTCCCTTTTTATTGCTTAGTAGGATCCCGTTGTATGGTCATCTTTCTTCTTGAGATGTGCACCTGGCTGTTTCTAGTTTCTGTCTATTCTGAATATAAAACTTTGAAGGATGCTTCCATGCACAGACTTTTGTGGACATAAGTTTTTGTTTCCATTGGATAAACACTTAAAAACAGAATTGCTTGTTCACAGGGTGGATAAATATTTTAAGTTTTTAAAATACTGACAAACAGTTTGCTAAAGTGGTCATGCTCTTGCATCCCCAGCAGCAGTGTGGGTAGTGTGGTCACTGTGACCATTGCAAGCCACCATCCTGTCCTATTCTCACCCTCACATGTGGACCAAGGGACTGTCCACATTGGTTATGGAGCACACATGTCCCTGACGATTGTGGCTACTAGGGTTTGAAGTCAGGGCTTGGTGTTTACGTGGCAGGCACTCTACCTCTGGAGCCAAGCCTCTAGCCCTAGAATTTTCTATGTAGATGATGTTGTCACTTGCAGCAAGTTCTCTTTCCACGCTGTTCATACTCCCTTGTTGTGGTGAGGCCCCTAGTGCAGTGCTGACAGAAGGTGGGGCAGTGGAGCTTCTCCTGGCTCCTCAAGGTCGCTCTTGCCTTGCTGGGTGGAAGACCTCTAGGAGCATCCCTCTTGTCCTCTCTCGAATCTGTGTTTTCAAAGATTGTCAGAGGCTCATGTAGAGAGTTGGTGGACAATTGCGAATTGTACTTTCTAGGAAGAGAACCACTTATATTTTGCTCTTGAAGCATGGTCACAGGATACATTTTTGCTGAAAGAGGATTTAATTGAAATAGTTTACAGAAAGGAGAGTACTGTTACTTTACTTGGTAATATTCATAATGAACTATTTCATTAAAAAGTTAAAATCCAGTAATGTATGACTTTCTGAGTGCTAACCTGGCAGTAAATGAAGTAGAATATTTCCAAACAAAAAAGTAATTGGCTTAAACACTAGCATTCACATTGAAGTATCTTTGTATGTTCAAAGCTTCCTTCTACCAAGTGTGCTTTGAAATTAGTAAATTTTGAGTGCTTACTTCCCAAACGCAGTGTTATTGAGCTCTGTGGATTTGTAGCAGTTGTATGTTTTATATATGCTGTGACTTGTAAAATTGGGGGTTTTTCTATTGTTTCCAGACTGTCTCATTTCTGTTCCTGTGATCAGCACGGTGTTGATCAGAAACCAAATTTTTAGCATAGACTTGGGCTGTTCAGGTGAGGCAGGAAATGTCATGCCTGCTGGGCCTCCAGCAGGCAGGCTGTGGGGAGCAGGTGGCTCTTCATCCCTCTGTCCAGTGCCCTGCAGGAGCTCGGCAGAAAACAGAAAGAAGTCATTGAGGTGATAAAGACACCACAGGAAGTGCACACAGGTAGTCAGTCCCCGGAGGGTAAGGCAAAAACCATTCAAGAAGTCAGGACACATTAAAACAATTGACCAAGTTTTCACAATGTAAAAATGCGTGCTCTACCTGAACAGATGTGCAGGCCGAGGGCCATGTTATTTTGTTATGATACTGTGTTTAGCCTTTTAATTGATTATTAAATGTTTTAAAAGGTGGGTTCTTCTTATATTGCTGGTATCAAGCTCCTTAACTCAAGTGATCCTCCCACCTTCACCCTCTGTGTGGTGCTGGTAGTGTTGTAGGCACAAATCACCATGCTTGGCTAACCGTTCTAATATTTTGTTCATAGTGTAATTTTGAGAAGCTGCTTTTTTTTCTTGTCAGGGTCTCACTGTGTAGCCTAGGTTGGACAGACCTTTATGGGCTTGTATAATTGAGGAACATGAAAAAAATACAGGAGCAAAAATATAACAGTGTGTACTAAACAAAACAAATCTTTAGGAACTATATGATAAGTTGGAGATCAGTCTAAAAGTCCATATGTGACTGATAACGTTCGTTTTTGGTAAAATAATATGAACTTAATCCTGGTTCTGTTGGCTCTCAGAATAAACCAAATGTAAAAGCTGCAAGTAAACCATTTTATTTGTTAAAACAGTAGTTACACAAAAATAAAAATAGACCTACAGTGTTGTCAGTCTTCCTGAAAGGGAGTGAGGCAGAAGAAAAGCTAAGACAGAGGAGTGGGGAATAATTTACCTGTTTTATGACTCCTTAAGGGTGACTTTTCCTATTGTCTATAAGACATTCCTCTGCTCTGTGTCATATTGTGCATAGTATTTTTAGTTATTTAAGTATATTATATACTGAACTTTATACATGACTTCAATATCAGAAATTATGTAGCTAATTTAAGGACTTATTTAACACATTATGTAGGAAAATCACTTGCAGTGACAAAGCTTTAAATACCAGTTTTCTGTCCTGTGTTGGCAGAGTTACTAGAGGAAGAGGATTGAATATATACTTTGCTTTATTTCTTTTTCTGTGAGTTTTGTGCCAATCACTGCCATTCATAATATTAATTTAAGGACTTTGGCATCTCCATATTACTTGGTTTCAGTCATCAAATTATTTTATTTAGTAATGTTCCTGGTCATTGGTAACTTGATGGAGAACTGAAACACTGACAAAATATGGGAAGGACTTTCCAAATGGAAACTCCTTCCAAATTATCACAAGAAATTCTCGCTGTCCTTTTATTAGGGGATAAGTAATTATTGTGTTTGGTAGTATACTAAATAGATTAATTATGAGTGGCAGTGCCTATCTGAACTTTATTTTGAAAGCTTGAGTATAGACAAATTCTGATGTTTTTGTTTTTGCCCTAGAGTTATTTGATAAGTAATTACTTGTTAAAAGATAATTTCTCGTTTCCTTGACTTGATTATACTTCTTCTTCTTTTTTAAGGTAAAGTGCAAGTTAAGAGTTCAGACATACAAGTTGGAGACCTCATCATAGTGGAAAAGGTTGATGCATTTTTCATATATTTTAGATCTAAATATATAGCACTCATTAATATTTAGCCTGATTGCAAATAATTTTTGTGTTTGAAGGAAATTGTTTGAGACTGGTATTTTAAATCCTAATGTTCTTTGATTTGGGCAAAAGTCTAGATATTTATATATTCTCTCTGTTTTGCTAAAGAGTATTTCAATGTATGCAGGTAAAGTCATATTTTGTCCAAAATAAGACATGTGTTAAGTAACTGCTTAGAGTTGCAATATCACAGAATTGTATTGGATTTGTTACTAATAATCTACTTCAGCTTTTGGAACTTCCTTGTACAAATAGCTATATCACGTATGATTATTGGGTATAATTGTTATATGGTTTAAAAATTTAAGTAGGGTAAGGTGAATGGAACTAAAAGGGCTCGAGAATGGAGTTAGTTTAGGTGATGCTGGGAAGAAGCCATAGGAAACCCTAGTGGAGGTCAGGAAGCTAATGGTCTGGAGGGTGACTGCATGGCAGTCTGTGTGTGAGGGTTCATCCTGGGGTGCTCTTTCTGCCTGCTACCATAATGTGTGAGTGAGTCTGCATGATGCTAGTGCTGTGGGCATTGTCTTCTCTAGGAATGACCTCACTGGCTAGCCACAATCTTGTTTAATAACTTCTCCTAAGACTCTAGGACAGTTTTGATTTTGAAAACATGAAGGGCAAGTTCCCCTTGGGCCTCCCATGAGTGATCTGAGCTGACCCAACTGAGGGTGTCTTCCTCTTCCTGGAGACAGGTCCTCTCATGTCATTCTGCATAGATGATTTGGTTGAGTATGTGGTTGAATTTTACAAAGTGGGATAAAAACCAGACACATTGTTTTGCAACTCATTTACATAGTATTCTGGGCTAGGGAATGCTTGCTCCATAGATGCAAGACCCTGGGTTTGGTCCCTGACACTGCAAAATAATTAAGTAAATAAGTCCAGTATGGTTGCCATATTTACTAGCTCTCTATCCATTCAGTTTCCCTAAAGTTCTTTTCTTTCTGTAGCAAAATGCTGTGGTGAATATCCTTAAACTTACATTTTTGCACATTTCTGTAGAACAAATGCTGATAAGAGAGATGACTCATTATATCCCACTCATACAAATTTTGATCTTTTTTTTCTATTATAGGTTGTATATCTGCTATATTGGCAGTTATATTATTTTTAATACCTTCTGTTATATTTTATTTTTGAACCCAGGGCCTTGCTAAGCATGCCCTGTACCACTGAGTCTTTTGTTATATTTTAAGTCTGTTGTAACGTTACAAAAGGAGAAGATGCTATTTTAGGTAAGGGAAATAGCTAAAAGGATTAGTAGTCACAGTGCAAACTATAGCTCAGATTGGGAATTTTAAGGTACCTTGTGTTTCAAAGGTAGAGTTGATGTTTTTGAGGAAGGATCAGCTTAATTAATGTTTTTCATGTCATGCTAAGCAATATGGAAGAGCTTCATGCCTTATGTTAAATATTTTATCTTGGGACTGGGAGTATGGCTCAGTGGTAGAAGTCTTATGCAAGGCCCTGAGTTCCATTCTCAGAACCACAAAAACAAGACAAAACAAAACAAAGACAGTGAGTTAAAAAAAAATTAAAGAGATTATTTTTCTCTGTTTTTTTTTTAAGTCTATATAGGAATTTAAATAAGGGAGCCAGGCATGGTGGAACATGTCTGTAATCCCAGAATTTGAGATATGGAGGCAGGAAGATGGTAAGTTTGTGGCCAGCCTGGGAAAAGAGAATTTAAGAAGGGAGTGATGTGAATTCTCTTTAATATTTGTTAATTCTTGTCACTTAATTTAAGGTTTTTGCTTGTTTTTGGTCAGCTTTTAAAATTGTTGGCCTGACATAGTACAGATTCTCTAAAATTGAATAAATGAACACTGTTACTAATCATGAAGTCTACCTCCTTGTGTGAAGATACTTAGATTTTATTTGTTTATGCGTTATTTTGGTGCTGGGATCAAATGCAGGACTTCACGCTTGCCAGGTAAATGCTTTACTGCTGAGCTGTACCTCCACCCCTAGAATTTGCACATATGTATTCCATTCATAATATGCACATGCTGTGCTGCTTGGTAATGGTGTTGAGCAGCACAGGTACCCTTTAAGTTCAGTCTTTTCCACATTTGATATGTCTTCAGTGTGTGTGTCTCTGGTAGAAACCTGAACTCCAACTTTTCTATTTTAGTTAGAACTAACGTTAAAGATGTTACTTTTTAAAGAAGCTATTTTCAAGAGTTCATTGTTTCCCTTTTTTTCTAAAGAGCCATTCTTTTGCTAAAAATTAAACATTATATGATAACAATCATACAAACAGATACTTGCAGTGCCCCGGATTGTTCTAGAGTTTAATATAAATGACATAAAGGCTCTCAAAGTATTTGCTTAAACAAAAATCTATTCAGAGTTAAGATTATATTGTATCTTTATGCATGTAACAGAAAGAGAGAAATAGAAATGCCAACGGTTGTCTCCTGGCTTAATAGGGAGAACTCAGTAGTAACTAAACTTTGAGACAAACATGTCAACTGAAATGTTACTACGTGAGTCCATATCAAGTAAGGTACCTATGTAGAATTAGAAGCCTTTAGAAGTTGAAGGTAACATGTACAGGTCATCCTTCAGTCTCTAGAGCCCAAAGGTTCAGAAGGGCTGCTTGGGACAGACTCAGAACAGGACTCCAGGTGACCTGGTGTAAGTGCTCCTTTACCAACAGAAATAGCTTAAGAAAGAAGAGGGTGTTGCTTTCTTACAGCTGGGGACAACAGCCATGTTTTTAATCTTATTTTTTCTGAGATAATGCAATTTAATAAGTAAGTACTCCAAAGTATATTGTAAGGTCCAGAACAGGAAGGATGAAAAGTGTGGAAAGAGATGCAGTCTGAGATGATACACGTAAAGTTAGATGGCATCCTTAAAAGGATTCACATGGCACACAAGAAGGAGATGAGAAATAGGAGCAGATGAGAAGACAAATAAGAAGACACAATGACCTTTATTGTTACCGGTATAAGTACACTAATCACAAGACAGGCAGAGTGGATAAAAAGATGCAACCCAGCTCTATACTACTGACAAGAAAGTCTTTTTAGGTTTAGGGTGCAGTAAAAGATGGAGAAATTACACATAAAATTATCCAACAAAAGTGGAGAGCAGGGTTTGTTATTGTCTAAGAAAATATCTTTCAGAATGATGGGGCGGGGAACAGTAAAGAAACTGCATTAGTGATGTAAAATGTATGAGAAAGGAAATATATAGGTATTTTCATTGGAGAATTCCTTGAATCCTTTGAAGAGGATTTTGCATTAATTTTGCACAGTAGTTTCCAGAAAATGGGGTGGAATACTTCCCACCTAATTTCATGAGGCCAGGATTGTCTATATAGGAATACCAGATAAAAGAACAATAAGTTCAACAAAAGAAAATTCTAGCCCCACATCCCTCATGAATATAGACAGAAAAATCGTTAAGGAACCACTTACTGATGTGTATAAAGAGAGTGGTGCACTATTCCAAGCAGAGGTAATGACTCAGGGACTTCAGTCTGAACCCTTGTTCTAGAGTCAACCAAGGTGATGTCCGTCATCAGTAGACCAGAGAGAAATCACACCATCATATTAATTGATGCCAGAAAAACATTTGACTAAGTCCAACATCCATTTATGATAAAAACCATCAGAAGTGGGGCTAGAGGGCAGTGGCCTCATGGAGTTGAGAAAGTGTCAGTGGTCTGCAGCTCATCCCGTCTGGGGGCTTAGATGCCACCTCTCTGAGCTTGGGAACAAGGGTGTTGCTCTTGCCCCTCCTTCTCTAGTGGCAGCTCCAGTCTCTGAGTAAGACGAGAAAGGAAATTAAAGCTGTCCAGAATGGAAACAAATAAAAATACCCCTGGAGTGGCAAGTTACGAGATCAACACACACAACTAGTGACCCATTTCCATGAACTAACAACAAGCATCTGGAAACAAATGAAGCATGCAGTATTCTTACAGTCCTTCTTGTGAAAACAAGCTCTTAAGTTTGCTCAAAGTTTCAGTATTTACGGAAGAAATCAAAGATCTAAGTAAATAAGATGCATTATGTTCTTGAATTGGGACCTGTGAGCTTAACACAATTCCTATCAAAGTCACAGCAAGGTTTTGTTACTGTTTTTGCAGTCACGGTGCTTGAACTCAGGGCCCAGTGCTTGCTAGGCAGACGCTCTTTACCACTTGAGCCACTCCACCAGTCTACAGCAAGTTTTTGTTTTCTTTTAAAAGACATAGATAATCTTATTCTAAAACTAATTTGGAGAGGCCATTCAGAGCCATTCGTCTACTGGGGAAGATGGGGTTTTTATAAGGCACACATGCTGGGGTTGAGGTGTCGCAGAAACCGTGACACTTACAGTGTTTAGCAAACGGAGGTGTGAAGCACTCCGTAAGCCAGTGCTAGGTCCCGGTCACATGCTTACTGATTGAAGTACTAACTTTTGATATGCAAATTATACATATTAGTTACTTCAGCAAAATTTTAGTTATGACCTTATTTTATTTAGTTGTTTTTATTTGCTATTTCTACTTTGGATTGGAATTGGTTAATGTATAAGCCTGCATATAATTAATGTAATTATATTACTCTTTTCAGAATCAAAGAATTCCATCAGATATGGTGTTTCTTAGAACTTCAGAGAAAGCAGGTATTTATTTTTTTTTACATTGCTGCTAATTCAGTATTTTGGCAGTTTGATTTTTATTTTAAAAGGTAAAACTAAAATTTATTCTAATAATTTCTCCTTAGAATGGTAATAGTTTGAATTAATTTCTAAGTCATTTAATTGTTGATATTTATAAAGATGACTTTATTGTGTAGTATGTTTGCCTAAAAAAGTCAGCCTATCAAAACCTGTGTATTCAATGAGTGTGTGTGTGTGTGTGTGTGTGTGTGTGTGTGTGTGTGTGTGTGTGTGTGTGTTGCTGGGGTTTGAACTAAAGGCCTTGTGCTTTCTAGGCAAGTGCTTTACCAGTTGAGCCACACACCTCCAGCCCTTCAATGAGTATTTTCATTTAAATTCATAATTGAGGTCTAATTAACTCAGTGTTGGTCCTCGAAATTTGAATGCCATTTTGCATTTGCAATTTTATTAATCAATCCACTAATCAATTGTTTACCATTTATTTTGTACCTGGCATTAATTGTTGCTTAGGATACAAAAGAGAACAAGGCACACTGCATTCAGTATTTTGGCAGTTTGATTTTTATTTTAAAAGGTAAAACTAAAATTGTATATTCTAATAATTTCTCCTTAGGAATGGTAATAGTTGAATTAATTTCTTAAAAGTCATTAATTGTTGATATTTATAAAAGATGACTTTATTGTGTAGTATGTTTGCCTAAAAAAAAGTCAGTCCTATTCAAAACCTGTGTATCAATGAGTGTGTTGTGTGTGTGTGTGTGTGGTGATGTGTGTGTGGTGTGTGTGTGTGTGGTGTTGCTGTGGGTTTGAACTAAAAGGCCTTGTCTTTCTAGGCAAGTGCTTTAAACCAGTTGAGCCACACCACCTCCAGCCCTTCAATGAGTATTTTCATTGTAAATCATAATGAGTCTAATTAAACTCAGGTTGGTCTCGAAATTTGAATGCCATTTTGCATTTGCAATTTTATTAATCAATCCACTAATCAATTGTTTACCATTTATTTTGTACCTGGCATTAATTGTTGCTTAGGATACAAAAGAGAACAAGGCACAATTGCAGACTTCCAAGGGTTCATGCTTTATATATTTGTGAAAGTACATAGACTGACAATGGGTAGTCATCCTATTGTATAGGTGTTGTGATAATGAATTATCAGGGCTGTGTGAGAGGGGACAGATAGTTTTGCCTGGGTGAGTTATGGGTTTGTAGAAAACACAGTGTTTAGATGAGTGGAGCCTTCAACATGGAAGAGGCCTCTCCTGGTTAAGGAAGGAAGTTGAGTTGGAATCAGGAAGTCTTACTATGTCTCCTCGGCCAGTTCTTGACAGTGTGATATGGCTACATGGGCACATTTCCATCATCTCTGGGTTGAGGGAAGCAAGTCAAGGAGTGTCCACAGAGCTCCTTCTGCTGTGTACCTTGACTTGTTGGCCAGATGAACCATATTTTTATAAGAAGCTTAGCATATTATTAATTTTCTTAAGTGCAGAATACGTTATTATTATTTGTAGTGTGAATGCCCTATGAAGGATTGAGTTGGTATTTTTTTCTCCATTTATAAACAGCATGCTTTTTAAAGGCACCTTGTAAGTCATGAGAAGGATGAAATGATTTTCTTATGCACTGTAGTTATAGTTGCTCACTTTGTCAGACAAGGCTGCTGTGTACAGAAGCTTCAGTTATCCCAGCAGTCTGGGGTCTGTGGACATGACTGTGTGTTAAATAGAGTGAGTTTTTTTTTTTTTTATTCATATGTGCATACAAGGCTTGGTTCATTTCTCCCCCCTGTCCCCACCCCCTCCCTTACCACCCACTCCGCCCCCTCCCTTTCCCCTCCACCCGCTCAATACCCAGCAGAAACTATTTTGCCCTTATCTCTAATTTTGTTGTAGAGAGAGTATAAGCAATAATAGGAAGGAACAAGGGTTTTGCTGGTTGAGATAAGGATAGCTATACAGGGCATTGACTCACATTGATTTCCTGTGTGGGTGTTACCTTCTAGGTTAATTCTTTTTGATCTAACCTTTTCTCTAGTTCCTGGTCCCCTTTTCCTATTGGCCTCAGTTGCTTTAAGGTATCTGCTTTAGTTTCTCTGCGTTAAGGGCAACAAATGCTAGCTAGTTTTTTTAGGTGTCTTACCTATCCTCACCCCTCCCTTGTGTGCTCTCGCTTTTATCATGTGCTCATAGTCCAATCCCCTTGTTGTGTTTGCCCTTGATCTAATGTCCACATATGAGGGAGAACATATGATTTTTGGTCTTTTGGGGCCAGGCTAACCTCACTCAGAATGATGTTCTCCAATTCCATCCATTTACCAGCGAATGATAACATTTCGTTCTTCTTCATGGCTGCATAAAATTCCATTGTGTATAGATACCACATTTTCTTAATCCATTCGTCAGTGGTGGGGCATCTTGGCTGTTTCCATAACTTGGCTATTGTGAATAGTGCCGCAATAAACATGGATGTGCAGGTGCCTCTGGAGTAACAGTCTTTTGGGTATATCCCCAAGAGTGGTATTGCTGGATCAAATGGTAGATCAATGTCTAGCTTTTTAAGTAGCCTCCAAATTTTTTTCCAGAGTGGTTGTACTAGTTTACATTCCCATCAACAGTGTAAGAGGGTTCCTTTTTCCCCACATCCTCGCCAACACCTGTTGTTGGTGGTGTTGCTGATGATGGCTGTTCTAACAGGGGTGAGGTGGAATCTTAGTGTGGTTTTTAGAGTGAGTTTTGATTTTCCCAATGGTGACCTCGACTGGCTAACTACTTTTTCAACTCCTTTCTTTCCTCTTAGAGACACAGGTAGACTCCTCTTTCCTGCCCAATGAGGTGGGGTCGTGTTATTAAGCTCTGGCAGAGGAGGAGCTGAAAGACCTGCACACTATACTCATCTATTCTTCCCTTCACTATTGCTAGCCAGGTGACCAGGGTAGCCTTGCAAACTGCACATCTGAGGCCAGAGAGCTTTCATCAGCCTGGCTTCCATGGTCCTGTGGAACAGAGCCTTCCACTTGCACTACCAAGTGGATTCAATGAGAGAGAGGGGAGAGGAAGAGAAAGGAGAGGTGCAGAAGATAGGGAGGGGAGAGAGAGAGAGAGACAGGCATGCTCAATACTCATATTGTCCTTTAGTGGCTAGTGTTCCTTTAACCAGTATCTCAACAGAATTGCTCTCTGTTTTGAAAGGCTCCTGACTCTTTACAAATGGTGCTATTTGTGTTGACTGTTTGTACTTCTCATTTGGCAACTTTGGAGAGAATTGTACTTGCTTTTCAAGCATTTCGGGTCTTCCTGACAAGAGAGCAGTAAGGCCATCTCATGTTTTTAGTGTCCAGCAGGAGATTCCGTCCCTCAGTTGGTATGTGCAGCTCAGTGAAGTGTTGCACAGTACAGACTACCAGATGACTTGGGGGCTTGTGAGACCTGAGCCCCTCAAAGACTGATCTCTTCTTGATCATGGTGTGTAATCAATTCTTTTATGTTTTGTCAGATTTGATTGCTAGTGTTTTCTTAAAGATTTTTGCCTCTATATTCACAAAGGATATATTGGGCTCTGGGTGTTTGTTATTGTTTTTGTTTTTCTTGTGATGACTTTGTTTTGGTATAAAGGTAACACTGGGCTTAGAATGAATTAGGAAGTGTTCCTTCCTCATCTAGTTTTTGGAAGAGTTTGTGAAGAATTACTGTTTTATAAATGTTTTGTAGAATTCATGCACAAAACTATCTGGAATGGGATTTTTTTTCTGGTATTGTTTTTTGCTAATTCAGTTTCTTTGCTGGCTAGAAACCTATTCAGATTATCTGTTTCTTCTTGAGTCAGTTTTAGTAGTTGGTATCTTTTTAGAAATTTTTCTGCTTCATCTAGGCTGTCTAATTTGTCAACATATGATTCTTGGTATCCCTTAAAACACATTTTCTCTCTGTGATGATGGTTAGTGTCCTCTCCCTTTTCCTGATTTTTAATAACTCCCCTCTTCTCTTTTGTTGTACCTGTTTAAAGATTTGTCAGTGTTCTTGATCTTCTTGGATGATCTGGGTTCTAGGGACGGTTGCTCTCTGGGGTGCTGTGATGCTCAGTGTTCTGACAGTCATGGATCCCGTGAGGGTCTTCTTCACAATTACTGCCTCCCCCCAACCAAAAAAAAAATGAACACAGTGTACATATATGCTAAAGTTTTGATTGTTCATGTACTCCTGGACAATTAATTACTAACGGATCTGAATGTAGGACCTTACTATAGTCTGTTTTAACCTGGGGTTCTGTTTAGTCTACAGGCATATAATTTTCCCTATCAGATTTAAATTGTTAAAATGTTGCTATTTATTCATATGTAGATATTAAGAAACTGGATTGTTTCTTTCGCAGGAAGGAACTTTTCTCTATTTCTAAAATAGCTTCCAAGCTTTTGATCAAGAGATTTTTAACTTCAGAAATTCTTTTGATTATAAGTAATTATTTCAAGTTTTCCTAATGCCCAGTTGTTTTCAGAAAATCACACATGTTCACAATTTTTTGTATCATCTAACACTTTTTAAATTATTTTATTGATTTTCAGTTTTAGCTAAAAATACCCTTGTAACATACTGCTTATTACAATAAAGTCTTTATGCTTAGTCAGTACAGAGGACCTCAGTGTGACATGGTACTCAGGCTTCGACAGTAACAGCTGGGTGCTTGTCAATGCAGCATGGTGATTTTGTCAGTGGCTTTGTATTGACTGTATTAATACAGAGTATTCTATTGAGCCATGTGTGGATTGTTTAGAATGTAAATGAAGCTGTTGATGGATTGGGTGATTGATGGCTTAAATTCCAATCAATCAATTGCTTCATCAGTTTCTTAATTCAGACCAAATATCTCCTGAGTGCACACAGTTCTTTCAGTGGTATTAGAAGAAATTAATGCTTTCAAACTAATTTTCATCAGTCTCTCATACAGGCCTTTGTCACTGATATCCTCAGTGACGCCATTGTAGTTAATGTGTTTGGGACGTAGTTTAG